GAACAGCAGGGCCATTCAGATCTTCAACGGCCGCTCCGGCACAACCCACCCGCCCGGCACAACCCACCCGCATCATGGTGTCGTGTACACGCAAGCCTTGGGCCGGACACCAGCAGCCTGGACCTGCAAAGACGTCGCCGAGCCTTGGTCTAGACCTCTTCGTAAAATTTACATGTTTAACTGTATCGTGGGGAGAGGCGGTTGTTACTTAGTCATTGGATATCCTAAGCCCTAAACCCTGAATCCCCACTACTAAGAGCAAGAGGGGTTCAATTCTTATTCTGTTGGGGATGTACGGTTGACGCTCTAGTTTCAGCGGCGATAGGATTGGGGTGACGCCGGAGGAACGGCGAGAGGATTGGGCTGATGCCTTGAGGAACGGCGATAGGATTGGGCTGACGCCTTAAGGAACAGTGACAGGTTGGGGTGGACGCGTTTTTTATCTGCGATAGGAGGTTTCGGTTTGGGTTCAACTGTTGCAGATGAAACCTGAGACTTCGGTCCGAGAGAGAAAGAGAGAGAGCGAGAGAGTTTGCACCCAAGCCGAAATCTAGCTACACTACACAGTATCCAGCCACATCTACAATACCGAAAACCCTAAGCCTTAATCACCTTAGTCCCGACCAGAACCCCTAATCCAGAGCTCAGCCCTAAGTGAAAATAAGCCTTCGACGACGACGACGACGACGACGACGACGACCTTCCAGGTCTGCAGTAGTAGCAGTAGTAGCCGTAGCAGTAGCAGTAGCAGTAGCAGTAGCAGCAGCCGTCGTCGCCGTCGTCGTAGTAGTAGGAGGAAGAGCAAGAAGAATCAGATGCAAAAGGTCGGCATCTCCACAGGACATGATTTACGGCATGTCATACTCGCCTGCAGAATTTTGCCAACAAATGCTCCGAAGAGTCACGAAGGCTGGCTTCACAAGAGCCCACCTCCTCCAGAATCTTTGCACGATCCTCTTCAAGAAGCTCTTTCTCCAGCACACCTCACGGCCAAGTTTGACAGCACTCGCACATCCATTTCACGGTCGGACTGGCACTGCTCGACTTCGCACCAAGCATACCAGCAGATGCGGCAATAGTAGCAGTGAGCGAAGCAGTAGCAGTTAGAAGTAAGCAGTAAGCTCAAAGCTGTAAAGCAGGAGCAGCAGCCACAGAGGTAGCAGTAGCGGTGGCGGTGGCGATGGCAGTAGCGGTAGCAGTAGGAGTTGCAGTAGTGGCAGCATAACATATACATATATATATATATATATATATATAGCTATTGACTCTAAGAGGGATGTGATACCTTCATATATAGACACGTGCGCGTGTGTTGCTGCTGTTGAGGCCATTGATGATCATGCAAAGCGAGTGCCACAGCAGCGGCTGGAGAAAATTGCAGATGCAGATTCAGCCTCTGCACCCCCGGATGCATTACACACGGTCTCAGTTCCGAAAGTGCGGCTTCCACTGCATCCGATCACATCACGAGGCCCATGCTAGGTCACTGCAAAAGTGCTATGTACTAGCACCGCTGCGTGGCTTGTTTGCTACCGGCCCAATCTTTCGTGACACTTTCGCTTCCCCCATAGCCTTCGGAGTTGTCCGCTTCCTGCCGTGCAACCTGCCAAGCTGTGCGGGTGCGGTCGGGTAGGTCTGGCAAATTCCGCCACACGACGTCGGCTTGGCTTGGACATGAGAGATCTTGCCTTTGCTCGGACTGCCTCTCGACCTCGCCCTACCCTCATTGAAACTTGTCGGCGGCACAACAGCTTCCAGCTCTGCAACCCCTCAGTGCTTCATATGTTCATATGGTCATGGCCATGCTTTGGGACAGCACACAATTGCGGCACGGGCCCAGCAAAGCCAACTCCTACATACAAACCCTCTCCCTGTTCCTTTCAGCTGGGCAGCTGTGCAGCGCCTTTGCAAGGTCCTGCGCTGGTGCCACAGCTGTGGCAAGCATTGGCAAGCTAAGGGGGCTTTCAAGGGTTTTTGTTGCAAAGCTTTGAGCCGGAGGGTTGCATCGACCGGAGACTCGGGTGAGAGGGGATGGGCGGAAGCAGCAGCAGCAGCACGAGAGTCCTGCTACAGACAGGCAAATCTCGACCTTTGTGCTCTGTGGGTCCTCGTCTGCACGCTTTTTCCCTTGCCGGCAAGCCTGCCGTTCGAATGGTGGAAACCACGAGGGTTAACGAAGCGTGAAAAACAGTTCTTGCATCGACTGGGAAGTTGGTTGAGCCGGATATGTCACTATGTTTGCACGAGACACAGGAACCTTGTCAGGGCCTTGAACAATGTCACACAGGACCCCACTAAGGCACAGGCTGCAAGATCCCTGGTGAGATCTTCCACCTGCCGGCGACATCAGACAAGTTCCCGCCATTGCACCATTCTGCAGGAGTTCGACAAACATCTATATCACTTGCCAGGTCGAGGTCGCACCTGCGAAGCCAGCGACGGCCTTGGTCTTCACCCAACCCAACACTACTTCATCGTTTCTCACCAAAATGGCATCCATCCTCAATGCACAGCTACAAGTTGCCTGAGATCATCTCCTGTCGGAACAAAGACGCAACACAGTCCAAAGTCTGTGCACCACTCTGCGCACCCATCCAAGCCATCTCCAAGTTTCTAAACACACATCTTCTTTGCCAATGACGCATTCCGAAAGCCATTTCGTGCTGCCGCCTCTTGGCTTGCCTGGTTCACATGATGCTCAGATGATCTCAAATGGTTCAACCGGCCTTTTGTGCTACGGCAGCCTTGCAGTGCCGACGAAGTGTCGGTGCTGTGCTGCACGTCACATGTGAACACAGGCGCATGAACAGAATCATGCTGAGATTTACGCCAGTTGTGCCAAGCTTCCCTGTCTGCATTTGTGGGGTAGTGGGGTGAGTTCAGCTTTTGGGAGCACCCTCTCTATCTGTCTTAGTTAGTCTCAGTGGTCGTTGAGGTGCCTTTTGACCTGTCGTTTAGCCGACACGGGCAACCTTTTGCTTCGGTTTTCCCTTGATATTTTCTAATTCCCGTTGATGCTGCCCGGCACTTTGTTCACAAGGTGTGTGGTACCTAAAAACAATCTAGACATCTTCTTGAGGTCCTGCAAAAGCTTCTGTACCCGGGATTACTTGTTGCAAGTAGATCGAATGCGCGCTGCGTCTGTGAAATCCAGTTGTGCCACTTCCCATCATCGTCGCGAGTAAAACAGGGGAAGAGAAACGTCGGCCCCGTTGATCAGGCCGCGAACATGCTTCAAGTCGTTATACCCTGACAAGGCAGAAGAAAAACTGCGACGAGGCTCCGGCGTCATCTCCGCCTGCAGCTTCAGCTCCACATTTGCCTGTGAGAGCTATTGCGGAGAAGAATTGAACAGTGTCAGCACCCCGAACCAGCCAAATGGGATCCTCGTTTTGGCATTGTTTGCTCGTGTCTCGTAAACATCGCAGCCATGGCTGCAGCAGCAGTCATCAATCACGCAAGATCTCAGATCTCACAGGGCGTAGCCTGCTGCAGGTTGTCGACCAACGACTGTAGTTTCACCACATCTTCGGTCTGCTGCGCCTGCTGCGATCAACAGGAGTGTCCGAAGACGAGAGAAACGGAACCCCAGCCTTTGGAGACTCGGGGCGATCGTCTTTGAGCCTTTCCACAAGAGGAGAAACGCCGGTCGCTCAAAGTGGGGCAATCTGAAGGCTGCAGATCCGTCGTCCGATCCGTTCCGCCTTGTTTTCACAGTCTGTTCATAACTCCCTCATTGCCTAACATACGGGCGCAGACCCGGAGTGGCATGTGCGGCCTCTACGTACCTTGCGGGCATACTCGCCCCGTTCATCTTTGCTTCACCCCATTTGTCCAAGAATCCCTCCCAGTTGAGTGTTGCACGTGGACGTGCTATTGAGTCGAAGACTGCTGAGGAAGCCGGGACTTAGGCCGGTTGTCTCACCTTTGTCCATACGGCAATGATCGGGCCGGCCAGCTGCGCTGTGCTCCACCGGACTTCGGAGTGGCTGCAACGCACAACGCATGGCCGTTTGCCGATGATGCTGCTGCTGCGTCCCCCACTACTGCTGGTGTATCTAAGATTCTCAATCTGTTTGCCTACACCCGTTGCAGGTTTCAGTGTGCGCGAACGCAAAGTCGGGCGATGTTGCAATGCTCCATTCCTCAGTGCTTCTTTCTCTACCCTCAATTTTGCAGCTCAACTCACGCTTGGTAGTACGCACCCGCTCTTGCAAAAACGGGTTTCAGATGCTTCCAGCTCCTACCACCCACCGGACATTTGAGAGAGAGAGAGACAGATTCGGTGCTGGTTGTCTCATGAGCTATGCCTTTGTTGTTTATGGTTCCCCATCCCTCGGAGGCACCTACATGCCTCTCGGAAAGACATCTCACGCAAGGGGACCCTTTCATCTTAGGGGGAAGCAATCGTCACAGGCTCATGGGATGAGATGCCTCGGCGACAACATCATTCAAGAGAAAAGTAACGGGTTTCACGCACGCTATAATCAGTTTGCAAACAACAAGTTGTGACCGCAAGTGCCATGTAACTCCTGTTATCAAATTCCGGGCTAAGCCCTTGTCTTGTCTTTTTTCGATTGCAGTAACCCTGGGATTCTTGGTTCTCACGACACATCTCAAGCTCAAAGCCCTGAACCAGGGTGGGATAGGACCTGCCTGTAGCCACATCGGCGGCAGAAGATGCTGTCCTTAGTCGAGCACACGCTGGCGCTGTGGATGAACCGAGTGTGCAAGGCCATTTGCATCGTTGCCCGGACCGAATCTCGCCAAGCATCCGAAAGGGGCACATTGCCACAGCCGGGACATGCAAAAGCAGCCGGTTGCCACTGCGGCGCTGGCGAGATCGTCCGCACGATTTTGGTGGGCCTAGATTCTTTTTGTTGGGACCCGTAGGGCAAGGTGCTCAGCAGCGGGCTGACACGTTACCACTAAAGCCGAGTGGCAGGGCTGCCGGCACGCGGGATACAGGCTCAAAGGCGGCTGGCACCCGAGCCGCTGGCTCAAACGGATTCTGTGCCCCGACCAGCGCGGCACAAGCAGTGCCACCTGAGGCGAGACAGCCATGGAAGCAAGGAGCCACAAGCGGGTTCCTGACATGTGTACTAGTGGAGCAGTTCTGGCTAGACAACATGCTGCTAGGTGACCACCTGTCATGAGCAATTCTGATTGATGACACACTCCCTCTGTACAGTGCAAGCGAACTCCCCAAAAACACAAAACCAATCCGAGAGGAGCGGCCAGGCCGATACACAGGCGGCCCGGCCATGGCTCATGGCATCAAAGCCGTCAGAAGCTTCGCGACGGCGAAGGAGTCTCGATTTGCTAGGGGTGTGTGGAGAACTGAAGCTTCCGAGCTCAAAGAAGGTCAACGAGGTGTCGAAAAGCAGTCTCGGGCGAGGTTAGTGCTGAGGTGTCGAGCTTTTGGGATGGCTCGAGAGTCTTCCGGTCGTCCTATGCAAAGCTCCGTTGCAGCCCCTTAACAACTTCGTGTATTGTGCACTGCTTTGGTTGTCGCCATTTTTGCAGTTTTCGATAGGCAAATGCCTGCGGATTACATGAACACAAGTGGGCCTGCCCAAAGCCAAATTCACCTGGATGTCCCACAGCGTTCAGTGCAACATTCAGAAATCCGGTTCTTAACAGTAAGACCGTAACACGGCCAGAATTTGATGCTGACGCTTACCAAAGCGTCTCAACATCTCAACGCGAGAAGGGTCGGTCTCGAAGCACCGCGATGTCGCATGGCTAGACATGCTCTGCTGTCGGCCTCGTCGGGTTCTCTGCCACGGTGGCCCTTAGACGAGTTTCGGACTTGCGGCTTCGGCTGTGGATTCCTGGGCCGGCAGCCTATAATTGGAGAAGTCCACCGTGCCATAGACAGCCTGCGGTGCTCAACAGAGAAACGAAAGACTCCGACCCGCTGCCCATTTGACATCGCCATGCGAGCAAGACCGCAACACCTGATGCGGGCACTCTAGTCTAAGCGAGGGTTGCGGTCCGCCTCGCTGTTGCCTTCGGAGATCTTCGCGCACTCGGCGTCCCTGGGGGCAACCCACCTGCGAGCTCAGGGCGTACTTGGCGGCGGGATGCGGCGGGTTTGAGGGTCCCTGATACCCCAGGCAATCGAAGAAAGTCCGGGCCCCAACCAAGAATGTCCAGAAAGATCACACTGCGACACGTTTTGACCCCCTCGCCGGTTTGGCGCTCCACGAGATTTTGGAATCTCTTCCGGACGAGTTGCTGGTTCTTGTCATCTGGGGCCGGGCATCCGTTTGCATCCACAGGCACTTTCACGAAGAACCTCAGGCGACAGCAGCTGGCCTGTTGCTGAAAATGCTCTCCACTCTTCTATCTCAACTCCAAGTTGACCGTTGCTTCCGTTCCTGTGCACTGGCACGGCCCGGCACGGCCCTCTGGCAGAAGCTCTCTCAAGCGGCTTAAGTTCTGAGTTTCTGTGGCCTCTCCAAGATCGAGGGGCGTATAATCTTGGGCCCCAGACAGACGGCGACAATATCCATACAAGTCTGGGTGGACATGAACTGACTAATCAAGTCGCGCATTTACTTGTTCGCGTTGGGCACCCTCCAAGGGACAGAAGCTCAAGCTTGTCTTGGCGATTGCTAGTAACCAACCGGCCACCGGGACCCCGCGCGCCCCGTTGTCGTCGTAGACGTTGACGAACGGCACCTGGAGGGTGCAAGCAGGCGAGTGCATCACTCAAAGGTGCTCGAAAGCACTTCTTGGAATGCAGCAAGCACGGTTTGTGGCTGCAGCCCTGCTAAATCCACTGATCAGAATACGACCAGTGTAACTGTCTTCAGCTGAAGGAACATCAGAGTTTGCTGCAGCACCTTCTCCTGCAGCCACTTGACCATCGGGTTCTGGGAAGGATCCTGGCAGCAAGCACACATGAACGGTGTTGGAAAGGCTCTTTCGGCGATTGCATGCCTGCCCAGGCATCGGTAGACACCGAATTCCCGCAGTGAGCTGCAGATTCGCGCGCCGACAAAACAGACTGATTCGTGCGCTGGACCGTAGACTCATGCACGGGACGGGGTACTCGATGCGGAACCCTAAAAACCTATACCAAACACCATCAAAACTGCAAAACCCATATACCCCAAAAACACGAACCCCAGAGACCCTAAACCCCATCACCAAAAATTTTCTTGCACTGAGGAACCCAACAAACTAAGGCGTCCCACAACTACCTCACCTACAGTTCACATCCCTATGCGCTCCGTATCGCGCCCTCTAGTTTTCTCTGAAGTTGTTTCCAGGATCCTGTCGCCGTCGGTTTTCCGAGTGTTTGTCTTCCTGAATCTGGACTCGTTTCGGGAAACACACCACAATCTATACCTGGCCAACTCAAAGTCCGGGGTTCCCAAAACCATAGGGCAGTTTATTCGTCGGAATTTTATGGGATGCGTCCAGTGAACAGCATGCAATGTCTCGGCTTGCGTGCGATCCCGCAAAGGTGACAATGTGCCCCTTTGCGGAGAGAACAAGCCGACAAACCGTGCATAGTCCTGCATACGAGCCGGTGGCCCTGCATGTGAGTACTACAGATCGCAGTGTTACACGCATTTAGCTCTGCTTGCTGTCCCTTGCTGTTCATACCTGCCTGGACCTGCCTGTGGCAGCTCTCGAGTGGGTGAAGCTTAGATGGCTACTCTAGATGGTTTTCTGAACTAAATTTGTGTTGTGCATGGGTTTGCGACATTTTACATCCAACGGATTACTGTAAAACTTGACGGTTCCGGCAGCTCTCATAGGGGATAGGTGTTCAGACGCTCGAATTCGCAGCTGGGTGTTGTGCTTCACGATGCTTCGGGCACATGTGCGTGTGTGTGTGTGTGTGTGGGGGTAATGTAATGTAATGTAATGTAATGTAATGTAATGTAATGTAATGTAATGTAATGTGGTGTAATGTACTGTACTGTACTGTACTGTACTGTACTGTACTGTACTGTATTGTACTGTACTGTACTGTACTGTACTGTACTGTACTGTACTGTACTGTACTGTACCGTAACGTAACGTAACGTAATGTAATGTAATGTAATGTAATGTATTGTAATGTGTATATACATAACTTGTAGACTCATGTATTTATGTATTCTTAGTGTTATACATATTCGATTGTAAGTGTATATATATATATACATGTCTATCTATAGATAGATTACGTAGATATAAATATAAATATATATATATATATATCATGTCGTCTTACCTGGAATAGCTAGCTGACCTTTCTCTCTTGCCGAGTTGCGCAGTGCACTTCCCTAACTTTCTCCCGGCACTTGGCAAATATGCCAGTCGGATTTGTCTCTGCAAGTTTTCACGAGTGATGAAAGGATCGAGAGTCATCAAGAACTGCTTGACCGTACCAGCTGGACCACCCTTGCATAGCATTAGTGGCGACGATCGTGATGTTGACCCTGTTGGCGTGTCATGACTTCACTCTCCCAGAGCTTGAATCGTAGTTGTGCTCGAATCGAACTTAAATCGCAGCCCTCACATTGTGCTCTAAAGCCGAGCTTTCCATCCCTCTGACTTCGGCCACTAGCCGCCACTAACGGCCCCCGCCCCTGACCAGAAGGATCCAACCGTACCTCATCCTCCTCGTCGGCGGCTAGCGTCTTGACGCCGGTGTAAACCTTGCGGAGCGACAACGTCGGAGCACGAGACACGCGCCACCACTGATGCCGTTTTTCGACCCTGGCCAAATCCGAAGCTGAGACAGTCCCCATGAGACTTTGCTGCTCAAGGCATCAGCTGTGAACAAGGCTCATGTGGTGATTGAGAGTGGTGGGGCTTGTCACTCGCCCCTGGCCGCAAGGGACGTGGTGGGTGTTGGAAAGTCACGAAAGCAGTGACGTGCAGCCTCTGATACAGTGGAAGTCTAGGCCAAAGGCAAGAAAGGCCCCGAACACAAAATGCATGAAGACCATCGCATGCATCATGTACCTCGTGCAGGCACCCTACACTGAATTGCATGCCGCGCCAGCACTGAGGGGAATTGGGGTTCTCATCTTCGGCCCTTCGGCACTCGCCCACAAAGATGAACATGAGGCGGAACGCCACGGCACCGCAAATCCTGGGCCAGCTAATCAGCATGGGCGGTTTCCCTCACGCACATCTCCGGTGACATGCCTGCATTCACAAATCCTTCAGCCTTCCTTCCGGCTTGTCATGCAGCTCTAAGGCCCAATCCCAATGTAGAGCGGGCGATGCTTCAAATGGTCAGGTGTGCCATAGAGATTGAAGATGAGGTGGAATACCTCGCGAGGACGCTCTAGGCCCTGCAGACCTTCTTTGGGACTTCGTGGTTACTCAGGGCGGCTTGCCAATCCTGAAATGACGATATGCACCAGTAAGGCCGGCACGAAAAGATTGTCGAAGGACAGAAGCCACTCCAACATGTATCCACCTGGCTTGGTCTGCCAACTGTTCCTTCTTGTTCATTGCGCTACTTGTGCCGACCAAGTCCGCATTTCGGAAAAAGGCTCAAGTCCATGATGCCCTCATCTTTCTCATAACTCTCGGGTCTGAGACCCTTTAACCGTGCATGTGTTCAACAGCTCACCTTGACCCTGATTTCTTACGAGGTTCCCTGACCCTGGCTGCGGAGAAGCTCCCTGATGATGCAACAACCGAGGCCCTGGCTCATCCACATAAAAGCACTGGAGCGTCCATAGGTGTACCAAATCCAGCCTGCACTGCCCGTGTCGGGGGGGGGGGGGGGGGGGGNNCGGGGTTTGGGGCCGCTGCGACGCGAGACAGTAGAAAACAGTTGGGAACGGTATGTCGATCCAGCATTATGCTAGGCACATTTGCTGTTCACTCCTGCATGGTAAGGCCAAGGCCACAGAAAGCAAAGGCCGTGGAGATCCAGAAGAGGGTGTAGCGCAGTGCGCCTTGCATTACAAAACTCAGTTTAAGGCATACTAGAGTAACTAGTAGCTAGTATTGACATGTACTACACACATCTTGTTACCGACACGACGTCTGGTTCCATGTACCAAGGTGGGTTGCAAGATGGCAAGGTGGGCCCACCGGAGTCCTCGTGTATCTTCAGAGATGACGCTTTCTTTTAAGTTGAGGCGCTGAAGGCTAGCCACATGCAGCACATGCACATAGCTTCAGCAAGACAGAGCCAGCACTTGAGTTGGGCGCGGCTTCTGCAGCTGGGTTTCCAGACGCCCAATTGTCAACTCCTCGGCGCTGCGGTTGAGGTAGAAGTTGTCGAGCATCTCAGAGATGTGAACCGGCTGCACACGACATCTGGGGGTTTTGGCAACTCTTGCAAGCACCCGAGCGGCAGCAGGCGTGGGACAACAGCAGCCAGCCCTCCGCGAGCTTCGCACTCGTGGCCTCCCCCCTCGGAAGATCTCTGCCCAAGGACGCGGCTATCAGGCAGACGAAGACCGCAGCGAAGGTCGTCCAGGCATTGAAATCCTGGCGACACCAGTAGTTCGTTGCCTGCTTGCTTGCTTGCTTGCTTGGCGTATGGGGAAGGAGGGAAAACCCTGATCCCCTGCGCACAGTGCACTACTTCACTCCGGGTTCAGGGAACTGTGTGACTCTTTGTCTTTCGCCAGGGTAGTGGTTCGGAGCTGCTTCCCCACTCTCTCTGTCTCTCTCTCGCCCTGCCCAAGGACCACATTGGGCAGAGCCATGGGAGAGCCATGGCAGCGCCACCACTCAACCTGGGCCCCGCTGACCCTGCGGCCGCCTCGACCTCGAAAAGCTTCACCTGGTGGTCCCTGGTCATCACGTACTTCCAGGCAGCCTCTTGAGTGCACAAGACTTTGGCGCATCAAGAGCCGCTTCGCAGAAACTCCGTGTCCCGGAAAACTTGACCCTTGACCCGGCAAGCGGACGCCTGGAACGATGATGTCAGCTCCGCCTCGTTGTTTTAGGGCAGGGGTTGCCAAAGACGCGAAGGGCAAGCCGTGTGAGCTTCGAGTACTTTCCTTCCATCTTCAACTATGGAAAGCCCGTAGCTCTAGCCCCCAACACCTCGCTCTGGGCCTTGTTGGCAACGGAGATCAGAGACTCTGGAAGCATCTTGGCGACCTTCACGTAGCTTTCACGCACTCCGGGCAGATGTGCCATGTAAACTTCACATCTGTTGCCTCTAGCAACACAAATGCTGCAACCTCATCTTGAATGTGCATCTCAAGCTCCTGGCTTCCGGCACCTGACGGTGGCGCTAGCTACAATGACCGGATTTGTTGCCCGGTGGGTACTGACGGGGTCCTTGGAAGCCCGACCTTGAGCCCGAGGGCTACGGAAGCGGCGGGGTGCGTCCACGGCCACCTGCACGGAATGCCCTTGGCAACCCCTCGTAGTCATTACATGATTCCCTCCTTTGGTCTTCGCCCGCTTTGAAATGCTCGGTTGGCGAAGTTCCTGCGCTCGGCCCGCATGTTGCGTGCCCTTGGGATGCACTGTGGCGGAGGGCCAGGCCTGCAAAGGTAACGGTCCCCGCTCTCTCAACTGACATTAAAGCATATCAAAGCAATGGCTGCACTTGTGGCTGCGCTTGTGGCTGCTCTTGTGGCTGCGTTCTCGGCTGCTGGTCTTCAGCTGCCTTTTCCGTCACGCACACCCGGCACCGCTCAGGTAGGTCACGAACCTGGCTGAACCCGCGGTGTAGCAGTGAAGGTGAGCCGTTTCACCGGGCCTGATGAAGGCCGCGAAATCCAACGGACCTGGCAATCCATCCTGGCACAGTTTTCTGGCTTTCGGAGCACTTGGATCAAGGCCCCCAGCTCGGTGTACACATGAAGCACATGCTCGACGAGTCTCGCGGGGTCGCAGCGGAAGGACAAGTCTCGTGAAGCTTGGTTTGGCGATTTGGCTTGGTGCAGGGGGAACCTTCCAATCAAGAGGGCTCATAGGTCGGCCTCACACGTATGACACATGAGGTACTCTCTTGAAAACTTGAGCTCCGGGGCATGCGAAAGGACCTCACGGCAGAATGCCACTTGCCGGTGCAAGTCGTGGAACTCTTCGGGCGTGCGCGGCACCTGCCGCGGCAAGTTTCATGCATGCAGGGTGGCAAGCCGCTGGCTCAGCAGGGCTGATTTGACGCCGAAGGTCTTCCAAACCAGAATGGATGTGCTGGTTGAATTCGGAGGTTGGACGTTCTCTGCGCCTGACCACGATCCCGCACCAGGCGCATGTAGTCTTCGCGGCATAGCTGCCCCTCGCCGTCCCTGTCCTGGGCCGCAGGGTCCGCACGCAACACAATGCTGGAATGCTGGTATTGCTGGTTAGATACTCGATACTTGGCTAGGCAAGACCGATTCGCTCGGACAGTGCATGACTCTCTCCGCTGGATAACGCAGGTGCCGTCCTGACACTGGGCGCCAGGCATAGGAGTTGAAAACAGCTTGTAGGACCGCCACGGCAGCCTGCTGTCAGCATGTTCATAAAGGCACTGATAATTTGGTTTAGTCCTCGAGCCGAGGCTATGTCTGATAAGTCAAGGTCTTCCATCAGAGCGCTATATGGCCATGTCTGTAGAGAGCTTCACAACATAGCAAACATAGCAATAACAAGTAGAAATCGATACAAAGGACCCAGCCTGGCTGTCTCGGAACTCTCTGCAGAAAGCGCACCGAAACGGTGTGGATTCTTCAAACTGTTTTTCGTCCTGAAGCTTGCACCTGTCCGCTGTGCGTCTGTTCACTGTACAAGCATACCGTTCGCCTCAGGCTGGACAGTAGGACCAGGGAAGATCCCGACGCCTGTGCCACATGCGGCTTGCAGGTCGCGTGCGCGTACGCAGTAGCTATACAGGATCTGCGTCGCATGTTGGGCCATCAGAGCGTAAGATCGCTACGGGTCAGAAATTCACTCCGCGGAAACGGAGATCTCCTTGCCGTCGAGGATGAAGCGGAAGCTTGGGAAACCAACCAGTGCCGAGCCGATGAGCGGCACGCCGGTTGCAGGCTCCTCGGGCAGCACCAGGGCGTGGAAGCTAACCCACTTGCTGCGGTGGTGGTGCGCTTCAGGCTTCAGATTGGTAGGATACATCCCTCCACCCCGCGGCCAGGAGGGATCCTTGGGAAGATGGGCCCCCTTCAGCACCATGAAACAGAGGTTCTTCAACTTGATGAAGCCATGCACAGCTGCCATGCTGGACACCCCCCAGCTTGCATCGAATCGGACCGTCGACTGCTCGTCGCTTCTTGGGGCCTGGGGCAGCTCATTCTTCCGATGGTAGACGTTGATGGCAAGGTTCTCGAAGAGCACATCCGTTTCTGTCTGCAAGTGCGTGACATAGCCCGGAACAAAGTTTCGTGGGTCAACCATCAAGGAGCAAGGAGTCTCGGAGATGTGCTCAATCAAGCCAGAGAGGCTGCCCCGCTTGCATCGATCCGCCAACGAAGCCTTGCCATCCTCTCTTTTCACGGGCGCCGTCAGCATCGAAGCAAAGGCCGCCTGTGCGCTGCCGCGGCTGCTGGGCTTGAAGGCCGTTGCAGACTTCACCAAGATCATCTCGAGGCCTTCGGTGTCCGCAATGTTTGCGTCGGTGGCAACTGCCGACCTGAGCTTTTGGTCTTGACTGTGCCAGCTCGGCTCAGGGCCGGACACAACTGCGCAGCATCGGATAAAACCCACCTCTTGACTTGGACTCAGCGGGCATCAGGGCAAGCGACGACGGGCTTTCGCCCCGATCTTTAGAGGAGCGAAGACCATGAGCTTCAACAGCAACGGTCTCAAAAAACAAATCACTCTTCCTTCCGCGTTAATTGCTCACCTGCGCCCATCCTGCCTGCACCCAACCAACACAGCTCGTTTCTCTGGGCGGAGATGACTTCGAGACCGCGAAGTCCAGTTTCTGGCGATAGCGGAGTTAGAGTCCCTTGCCAAATGCGAGCCGTCTACTTGTCCGAGTCTTTATTTTCGAGAATAGGAACAAATGGCTGCAGTTTGAGGGGGAAAGACCGCAAGAATCGGATCAGGCCGGAAAAAAAGACCAAAAGGGTGCGAGAAGCTGTTCCTGGCATGGTTCCTAATCGGGATTTCCACCGCTTTTCACGACAAAAATATTCCTGTTCGAAGCACCGGACTTGCCGTCGGGGTCCGACGACTGCTGTTTTCGGCCACAACCCGTGAGGCAACCACCTCCGCCGAGATACTTTTTAAAAAGACATACCCGTAGCTTCCTGCCCTGTGGTTCTTCCGTATCAAGTTCACTGCAGGGACATGTGATGCTCATGTAACAGTAGCAAGCTTAGCTGCTTGTGCAATGGCGGCTGCCGAGGTCGCGACCTGGGCTCTCCGACCATGCGCATCCACTCCTCCTCTTTGGCGGCCAGGCGCTTCTGCTCTGCAGCTGAGAGCTCCACGGGCTCCTCGACCAGGTCCTCCCAGCAGGGCCCTACTGCGTGGCACGTTTGTTCAGTGATCCTCGGTGTTGAGGTCTCTTTCCCCATTTTAAACTTTTCGTCCTCGGGGGTCACAGTCACGGTGCAGACTTCCATGAGGCGTCCTGGCGCACGGTCCTTGGGCCAAACGTCTGTGTACACCTGGCTAGAGCCGGGCTTCTTGACGGTGACCTGGAAGGGAACGCTGGCAGAGTCGCGGTTGCGGTAGTTGTTGACCTTGATGGGGAAGGTGCCCGGCTGGTTCAGCGAGATGTTCTCGGCAGGGAAGGCCTCAACAGTCTGTGCGTTCGCATCAAAGTCAAGCTTGCACTTTCCAACAACCTTCCTGCTGAAATAGAGCTCCACACCGTCCACCATAGTGTGCAAATCGAGATCTGACTTGTTCGGCTGGCCCTCACCGCCCCACGTAAGCGTGACGGTGCACTGGGATGTCACTGCTTTGTCACGCAAGATACCAGCAACACGGCTAACCTGATAAGTCTCCGGATTGCTCCTGTCGTCCATGAGCGCTCGCAGCGCAGCCCTGCTGTGGGCGTCAGTCATGAAGTCCACCAAGTTGCCGGCCTGCTGCATGTCAGTGTGGATGGCGCCGTGGGAACGCCCAGAAAGCATGGCAAAGGCCATGATCTCGAACTTCTTGTGGATCGGAAGCTCCGACCATTTTCGGCCTTCAGCCTTTGCCACGAAGTTCACCGCCCAGGATGTCACCGCCTTCCAGTGGTCCGGCCGAACAAGGTTCGGAATCTCCTCCTGGATGATGTTCAAAGAAGCCGGGTCGTCGATCAACTTCTGGAAACCTGAAAATGCTCGAGCAGCGGACAGCACAAATAACATGCCGCAAGTTCCTGACACAGTTGTGTAGCCCAGCAGCGATTGTCAAAGGAGCCGTTCATGTAGTTGGACAGCTGCTTGATCTTCGCTGCCACGTGAGGAGGCGTGAGGTCTCCGAATGTGAAGTGCACATGCTGAAAACCGCCCTGGAGCGTAGGATACCTCATCGCGAACCTAAGCTGTTCAGGCTGCCGAAGAACAAGGTGTTTTGCTTCGGCACTTACATGTCTTTGGGGCAAGGCGTGTAAGAGGCTAACCCTCGACAAACCAAAGCATTCCCTCTCACCATGGGCCCACACTTCGCAGCCTCTACATCTCGCCTCAAACCTTGACGGGCCTCGAACATCCTCGAACCGAGCTTGTGAGTTGCAATAGACAAGTAACTCGCGGTCTACGACGATGAAGTGATATGCTGACACTTCCGGGCTGTGCTCCTGCTGGTCACGATTGGCTCCTGGGCTTGCAGCAGAGCTGGCAAGGGTGACCGCACAAGCTCTGAGCAAAGCTAAAGACAAGAGAGCTTTCGAGACAACGAGCTTTCAGAGGCACGGCGAAGTCCCGGAGACAGACACGGATGGAGAAGAAGGTGACTGGACAAGCCAATGTTGTCCCAGGAACGGATTGCATCCACGTTCTTCTCAGTGACTTCCTGGCGCATCTCAACGCGCACAGACTCCATGCTTCAGGACACTATGTATACAGTGATTCTGCAGGGCCTCTTCTAAACATTTCCTGAAGACACAATACCCAGAACAGACTTCCTGGTTGAAGGCGACGTACGTCCCGTCTTCTCCAATCAGCCTCGCGTTGACGGTCTCAAGAACGATCAGGGCAGTACCAATGCGAACAGCTGGACTGCAAGGATCAAGGATTCTGGCGCTGGCTGAATCCATTCGAGCGGCTGCGCGAACTTCGAAATTCGCTCCGTGCATGCCCTGCACATGCCAGATAAATTGGCAGCGCAGTCTTCCACCTCGCCTCTGTTGGTCACCTTGCTGAAGCCTACTTCGAAACAAAGCTTCGACCAGTCGCACACGTATCGCGATGCAATGCAGAACGAACAACTTCCCGCCTCCTTGGGTTCCAGGCAGAAGTGCAACTTCTCCCCGCCCACTTCTAACACACACGCACGCATGGGATTGATCTCAATCTGCTCGTATGCCTTGTCTGCCGCTTCATTCGTCTCCTTCGCCTCCCAAAGGATGCCATGCCATACTAGAGATGCTACATGTCAGAGTTGAAGCGGAAATGCACTTTCTGTGCCTGCCTCCTCGACAAAGTACCAACCGTCGAGACTGATCAAGCCCCGACCGGTGCGTCGCTGACGCGGCATGGCGCAATGGTGGCAGATGGTGGCAGCTATGGTCTGGAGCTGAAGACTCTACTAAAACTCTCTATCTGCCAGCCACAAAACATGGCCGGCTGGGACAGTTCAGGTACGAACACCGGTCAAGCAGAAGCTTGGGAGGACAGCTAACAGAAGTGGAGTCATGTGGAGTCACCTTCTCCGGCCGCCGCACACGCTTCCGCCGCCCTCGACGGGGGCCACCCGAAGCCCGAAGATCCTCACGGGGGGAAGCTTTCGGCTGGTGCTCTTCTTGTGGAGGACAGGTCGAATGAGTCCAATGCTGGAACATTTGACCCCTCGCCTCTGCCAAGGTGACACTACGCGCCGTGGCCTCACCGAGTCCCGATGCGGGATATCACGAGATTTCAGACGTTGCATGCGAGACTGCACAGAATCCGGGCCCGACGTCAAGCAGCAGCACAGCAACAACCTTGAGGCCTCACCCCACTATCAAGTTGTGGACGCGACTGCCTCAACGAAGCTGAGAAGTGCAGGGAAATCCTCGCAGCAGCCGTGCGGGGATGTGCAGCAAGGCATGAATATCAGAATAGCTAGCAGAAGCTTCAAAAGTCTGAGCGTTGACAGCATGTTCAAACTCGCCGATGAATGACACCAAATGAGCGGCACGTCTCTGCCTCTGAAGCCTGTGAAACGGTCAGCAACAGCCTTCAGCCTTATTAACATATTTCAAAGAAAAGCGCCGCTGCGGCCCCGACAATGATTTGGGCACCCCTCCCGACGGCAAGCTCGAGGATGCGGCAACGCCTTCGCAAGCCCACGAGGAAGAACTTGCCGTACAGTGACTGCAGGCCGGTGTCCGAGGCCAAACGTGCTGACGACATCCATTGCATACAATTTTTGAATTTCGCTCCCGGGGCATTGCTGGGCGGATGGTTCCAAACGGCAGCTGGGCTGAGCTTGGCCGTGTGGATCGGACGCTACACTCTCCTGATACAACCGACTACCAGGGTCAGGAGGCAGGTTTCATTCCCTGACTGCAGAGCCCCTGGCGAGGCGTAGTCGAGGATCACGTGGTTTTCCCGAAGCAGCCGGCCGAACTCGGCGACCCCCAGGCAGGCACCTTGGCTTGCTTGCTCTCTTACTCTTGCAGATGTGCGGGGGTTCGGGATTGCACAGTAGGTCTCGGGATTGCGGGGCATTTTCCCGGGGTCAAGGCAAGAATCGATGCCAAGCACAAAGGGCTCCGAGGCCCAGTCCTGTGAGGCTCATCCCTGGCATCCAGCCGATGGCGTACTGCTGGAAAGTCCCAGGCCTGCTTATCTGCTTTGGCTTTGATTCTCCGGCTTCCACTGATTTTCTACTTCAGGGCTTCATGTTGTTGGCGGTTACCACGATGACTACAGCTGCTCCCTTCTCCGGCATCCGATGCATATCCCGGATACGAGATTCATGTGCGGTTGAAAATGTCACAAGCTCCGGCAGCTCCGATCTCAGTCTGCACCCTGGCTTGCAACTCGGACGATTTGACTCAGGAGTAACTGCCTCTGGCGCAGGCAGTGCAAAACCAAAAAGAGCCACTCTTCAACAGTCCAAGGCAGCTGCCACAGCAGACCGTGGCCAAAGGACACGGCGGGACCGATGCCCTCGGTCAGGGGGATTTCGGGCGAGGAGAATACAACTCTTGTGAATTGTTTTTGGACAAAAACTGCTCACGAACCGGAGTCTCTCTGGAGTGCCCCTCTTTCCGAGAGAAAAACTCAAGCCAGAATATGCCTTGGCCATAGAACCCCAAAACCGAGTGGCCAGGAGCTCCTCGACGTCTGGCATCGGTGCCAACCTCGGAACTTCAAAGCCCACACACTTTGGCGCCCTTTGTGGAGGTCGGCGAGGCCGCCGGTAAGGCCGCCGGTAAGGCCGCCGGTCGCTGGTACAGGTGCGGGCCCACGAACAGCCACGCGGTATCTGCGGACGTTCTCAGCTGACGTTCCCCACGTCTGTGCATTCCGATCGCGTCGCGAAACTTCAGTATATCTTGACGACAGAACCTGTCTTGCTTCATTGAGGAACCCTGAGATTAAGGCATGGTGAAGCAGGAATACCGATTCACAAAGAAGAGGAGCTTGCGCGCATTTGCAGGCGACCATCTAGAAGCCAGTGTAGTGCCGCGGCGTTGGGATGGTGATTCATGTCTGATGCGTCGCAGTGCTGATCCCAACCGTGTTGAAGACATCACTGTCTGAGTCTCGTGCTCTCTCGTCCGGAGCCTTAGGCAGGACAGTGGGTGCGCTGCAAGAGCCAGAAGGTCTTCGAGGGAGATGCAGGTGCGACGGTGTCTGCATTTAAGCTTGATCTCCAGGGCCACAATCTGAGAAGTTGATGGCACACCACTGAGATCCACCGAGCACCCTGCTGAGTCCACGCAGTGAAATGCTTCGGCTTGTGGTCCTGCGGCCAGCCACGGAGATCGTGCACTTGCGTGAAAATAAACCATTCGCACATTCCATAATGAAAGTGGACGGTGCAGGTGGACCGACTCCTACTTGACAGGAGACGTGCAGGACTTGCAGTGATCTTTTTGCCAAGGCGGATCGAGCTGCGGATCTCAAGCACTCCAGCCCGAGTTTGTCCACGACGAGCCTAGAAACAGCTGCTCTAGCTCCTACCCGTGGAAATGCAGCCTAACGGTAATGCTCCTGAACAATCAACAATCCCAGACCACAGGTGTCGTGGGCAAAGTCCTTTGTTGGTGAAACCCACTTCAGAGGATGCTGGCTCAGCGATATAGATTCTAGCGCTGTGATGCCGAAATGCCGTGCTTAACAACAGCATCCGGGGATCAACAGAGGAAGGTTTTGTCGCACAGTCCGTCTTTTTATTGTGCAGGGACCTGGCCCGGCTGCGGAGGCACCTGGAAGGCGGCCTGAATTGCCTGGTTGCCCACCATGAGAATTTGCCCTGGTTGAGCCTGAAGGCCGCTTTGGCCTTGCACTTGCTGAGGTGCAGGTTGACCGATCATGAAGACCTGCCCTTCCCCGGTGGGTGCGGGCCTGACGTAAGCTGCCCTGCGCACCTGGCACCACTTCAGGAGCACCTCCCGCTTCTGAAACGCCACTGCCAAGAGCATCAGGCTGCCAACAGCCAGGCCGATCAGCACCATACGGATGATGTGCCACTGCTCACACTCATCTGCACTTCGTGCACAGCAGACATACAGCCCGCTTCCCCCACATTTCTCCGGTAGCTCGCAAGCCTTTTCCGAGTTGTGCTGACGCAGAAAGTGGCTGGGCTTTCCTGTGATCCAGGTGTTACCGCCCAAGATGCCAAGAGTGCAGTCATCCAGGAGGTGAGAACATTCACTGAGACCCGCGATCACTTCGTCAGAGCATCCGTCGCAGGATATGGAGCCGGCTACTGACAGTCCGAACATGTGGCCAACGCAGCTGTAGGAACCTGTAAGCTTCTGTCCTTGTGATGTGCACGTCGCCTCCTGACATGATTTCCAGTCGCGGCATGAGTCACAGCTGTCGCAGTCCGAATTGCAAGACCCAAACAAGCTTCGGGGGCCCAATTCAGCTGACAGCAGCCCCAGGAAAGAGCAGACAAAGGCCCATCTGGCGGGGACATCGCTGGCACGGCGACACGAGCTGTGCTTGAGGTGAGTGCTTCGGGCTGCGAGGGCAACAGTTCCGGCAAACTGCAAAGCCCGGTCTCATGTGTGTCGGGTTTCGATGTGCATCAAAGGCCCTGGTTTTCATTAAATATCAATAAACAGACGGAGCCGGGCACAAGCAAAACATACTTCGGGTTGAAGTGGTCAGTGTTCAACATCCTGCAAAACACTGCCGCACTGCGCGGATCTTATGGTCCTGTACCCACCTTTCTACATGTGTGCGACAGCTGTCGTGCAGCTCACACTGCACCATTCTCCCCACCCTTTGGCCTCGTGCAGGGTGGACCTTGCGAGCTTAATATGTGAAGCACAGCAGCGATCTTGTGCTGTCGGAAAATAGGGTGAACACTTTCCTTCTTCACTGCTTTGAAAAAACACTTCACCTAGCTCACACATCACTCCTTCACCTCTCGTACTGAAGCAACCTTGTATGCCCCCTGCGCATCTCAGCTCCTTGCCCTGTTGCTGTTACGCTGCCGGCACTGCCTGGACAGCAACTTTTAAAGGGAAGCCTGTCTGGTCTGAGGCATACAGAGCCAGGACCCTAAAGTCGGTTGAACTCTCGCCAGCAACACCCCGTGAGGTGGCCCGGCTGGAGAGTGCGCGAGGAGTGGCGGCAGCAGCACGGGCGGCTGCAAGTAGCGGCTTCCTGCTTTGGACTCCACCGCATTCTGCTGTTGGGCATGGCAATGGTGGGTTCTGCAGTCATGTTGGGAGATTTGTGTTGCAAGACTCTCACGGTCTTTTTGCACGCTACTGACGTGTTTGTCTTCCCATCTGAGCCTTGCGACGACCCAGCCCGCTCTGCAACAGAGAAAAACTACACCTGCTGCCAGGAACTGCAGAGCCGTCCCTGTCAAAGCACTCCCCCACGAGCCTGGCACTGAAAGGAGGCTCGGAAGCAGCGGCCCTGGCAGCCAGTATATTATATGGGACGTAAGCGGTGGACCTGCTGCTCGGTGTGGTGGTGGCTTGTTGCCGTGGCCCACCAGCAGAAGCTGGCAGGATGGAGGATTTAGAATTCCAAGTCTTTCTACTCGCATGACTTCTGTCACGCATTCACACACCCAGATACGTCGTAACACACCGAAAGCAATACATTCATTTGCCAGGTCAGCATCCTGCAGCGGGAATTGACCGGCTCAAGTCACAAGCCTGTGCTCAGCCGACCGAGTCATGTACTAAGATCGAAGTCATCCCTGAACCCTTCTTTTAATCTTGAATGCCTGTTCACGGGAGCCCTCAAACAACAACGGCCCAGCTATAGCCTCTCAGAGGTCACGCCATCGGAGGCCTCGTCCGCATGCGATGCTACGAATGGCAAGAGCGATGTGTGGGAATGCGATGTATTGCAGAGCTTCTTGGCACAGCTTCAGCCCTGAAGCAAGCTTCAGCTTCGAAGCAGCTGCCTTGTTGACGATGAGCGGCACATGGGATGGTCGGGACCTTCGTACTGTGATCAGGCACTCATCGAAACACTTTGCTTGCCTGCTCTGTCAGACTCACCTTCTCAAAACAGCGCGAATCACAGAAGGGAATGCTGCGCTCCACCCTCTCAGTCCCAGTCAGATGCAGCCGCCCAAGCAACACAGGCGGAAGCGTTTCCTGCCCGATGCGGGGCAGATGCAATTTTCGTGCCGCCAAACAGGCCTCGGAATACTGAACTTGCTGAGAAGCTCGATAACCTACGCTTACCAATCTGCACAGCCGCCCTTGTGATCCTGCAATCCGGAGTTGTGCTCACGGCGTGCGGCACCTGAAAGCGGAGCATCAAGAAGCAACTGCGCTTGCAGAAGGGCTTGTTACAGCCTCGGATGGAATCGACAAACGATCGCAGAAGAGTGCGGTGAGGAAGGGTTCGCGGTTCTGGCCTGGGTTCTTCTGGGAGATAGGCCCCGTCGGCTCCATGGCGTCACACGGCCATGGGGAACCGGGGCGCCGAAAACACGGAGCGGCCAGTGCCAGTAACTCTTTACCCTCAATCTGACCGTCTCCAGAGAGCCAGTGACGACATTCACAGCCCATGAAATCATCTTAGCTGGCGCTACATCAAGCAAACGGGCAGCTTCAGATTGGAGGCTGAGCAGTTTCCTGCAAGAACTTGTTTTAGGGGGGGTTGGCTAGTCCGGCAGCAGTAGCGGCAGGACACACTTTCCATCATGCACTTGTGACACGTATGCAACGGCATCCCGGTGAAACTTGCGATCGCCTTTGAACTTTGGACTTTTGGGAGCTAGATCCCGCTCCGCCTCCTGCGAAATGGCAGCTCAGGCCTTCGTGTGTCCATCGTTAAGCGTATGCGGACCCTGCAGCGATGCTCTAAGCCTCGACCCGCGACGAGCTTGACCAATGCTTGAAAATTTTCATGCAAGACGCCCGTTGCAGGCCCGAGCTGGGTAGACTAGCGGGTGGCGCCCATTCCGGAACTCCCAAGTGTGTCGCCGCCTGTGTCACTGCACATGTCAGCTGAGACTTCTTGCAGGCTGACCACAAGTGTCTAGTGTGTCCTGTTGAATCTGCAAATCCTACTACATGATCTGTTGCATGCGGTGTGGTCTTTCAACTCCGCGTTCTGGCTCTGCAACATCGTGATACATTTAAATTTAGGCCGTTTAGGAAGATTCAGGCTGCCTTTGAAATTGGATGTGGATACGGCACAAGGGCTTGGCTTGATAGATCCATGACCCTGTGAGGTCCTATCGCAATCCGCAATGCCATCCCGCCTGCGCCGGCACCACGCAGACTGGCATCCATGTCCTCGTATTGGGTTGCACAGGATGGGCAAAGGTCAGATGATGGTAGAGTCGAGTATGGTTTCAGAAATAAGGGCTAGGTGAGGGCGGATACCCTGTATCACTGTAGCGTAGACCCCCGCGCCCACAGCTTTCATTCGCTCTTCGTCTACCCGAGCCCATGTCCTGAGGCACCAATTGGCCGCCCGTCTTTTCATGATATCCGCAAGCCAAAGAGCCCAAGCCAAGCCAAACCAAACCATGTTCCTTGAGTTTGACACTACCGCAGCTGTACAGTGAGAGGATGCGTGCTGCTTTGGTATCCAGATCTTTCAGTAAACCGAGTGCTGGGAGCCGCCCCCGAAACGAGTCCAAGTCAAGCCAGCCCAAGCCAAGCCAGTTTTAACACTGCCCTCCTTTGGTCAAGACTGCTTGTCCACAGGGTTCACAGCTACGCCAACCAGCGGGAAGGAGCAAGGCCAGGACGAGGCCGATCCAAGCCGTGCTTAAAATCTTTTTGGTGTAACTTGAGAGGTTGTTCAAGGGGAGGTCGCATTGCATCTGCTTGATGGCGTATGCCTGGTGAGAGGAGGCAAGCTACCATTTTCTATTATGTTAAGCGTCAGGGTATCTTGACTCCCTGACCCGTCGTGAATAGTAGAACCTGCTGTACAAGTCTTTCGTAGTTTGACTACATTAGTCCATATTAACCTATCGGCACTCAGCCTTGCTCACCACTACCTCCTGACCGGCGATAAAGCAGTGGACCCTGTCGCTTTGTTGTTCCCCGTGTGTTGGTTGCCTTTGATGCATAGTAAAGTAGCTTTTTGCTCCATGTTCCAACCGCGTTTGTAGCTGGGGGATCATCAGAACGGCTGTAGCTAGAGTGTTTGAAGCAAGTGCTAAGCCTTTTTTGTCGGCTGACTCAGTTGTTGATCTCGGTATCTTCTAGCAGTTTTTAATGCTAAGTAGCTTCTCGACTCCCCAAGCAAACCTGGCAAACCTCGGGATCATGCACATTGGAATTCTCTAAGCAGCAGTCTAATGAAAGCCTTCACATTGCAAGTCTACGCTTCCATAGAACAAATGCCACAGGTTGCCTGTGTGTGGGTGTGGGGTTCGACGCAGCGACGCGGCGACGCGGGAATATCCATACGGTCCATACGTAGGAGTCATTCGGAAAGGCATAGGGTCCTACTGCCATCCATGGTAGGCAGCTACTTGCTGACACTACTATCCTAGCAGAGTCCTGGCACTGCGTTCAGCGGGATGCAGAGGACTCGCTTGGGACCGCAAGAGGGACATTTAGCAGCTCTGAGCGGGAACAGCTGTAACCCACCAAAACCCTGCACCTGCCAGATTGAGTTTCCCAGGTGTCCTCCTCTGCACGCATGGACTCGGCCTGACTGGACGACTCCGTGGGTTTCCAATTCGGCATGGCTACCGACTACCACCCGCTAGAGCGGATCCAAGCGTGCCGAGATTCAAGTGGACAACAGGCAAACTGAATACTCAGGTCTGCAGAATCGAGCATGGAAGGAAAATCGATGTGCAGTGAGGGCTCGCAGGCAAGGAAGGTGATGGACGGGCCTGCATCTGTTCTTGCGAGATGAGGGTGCGTCCGCGTTCCTTCGGTGCCCTGGCAAAAACAGCGGGTGAAGCACCACGTGAAGCCGCCAAAGTCTAGCTGTGAGTGATTCCGTCGCCCGCTCTTCTTGTACTATCCCCGGAGGTTGAAGATGCCAGGAATCAAATCAGACACAGCATATCCCTGCTCGCTGAGGCATGTGCTTGAAGAGGAAGAAGGAGATAGGTATGCAGGCTACGATGCACACCTCAGCTCTCGTCGGGCACGTGGATCACGAACCGCTCCATCTTCGTGCTCAGGCGGCAGCAATCACCACCACGGTAACTCGGCAAAAGTCATGTACGGATTCGCAATTGAAGGATCGCATGTTCAAGTTCAACAACAAAAGCTGAACATCATTTTGCCATTGGGGCCGCGGCTGATGATAGCGGTGACTACACCACTGGGGCACTCCAGCACAGCCTCACCACGCATGTGGGGTGATGTCATGGAGCTTGGGGTCAGAAGGCATTTAGGCTTTGGACCCAAACAGCGCAGGTCGAGACGGCATGATCCCAGCCTCATCATAATCCAGATGCCAGCCGTTTCTTCTCCCCACCTTGCCATGCGACGGGAAGTCAAAGATCGCACTTTCTTCTCTCCGGTGCTTTCTGTGGTATCGCTTCCGCTGGGCCCCAGGCGTAGATCGCGGCATACCAGGCTATCAAGGCATCCCTTAGCAATGACAGTGGGTACAGAAAGAGAGGCCGAGAAGGGCAAGAAAAACACGGGCCTGTCGGCGCCGTTGTTGCAGGCGGCCGGAACACAGAAGGTTTCTTGCACCTGCGACTTTCGGGTGTTGGGCTCGATGCCCAGCGCACATCAAGACACGGCTGAGGGCTTGGAAATCCGACGCGACCAACTTTGCTGCAGCTTTGAAGTGTGATCGCTTCTAGTTCGCGGTTTAGAAAGAGCAGAGAACAGCGTGGTGCGAGTATGTCTTGAACGCAGGTGTCGCAAGCGCGTGTAATGTGCACGCTGGCCACGACTCAAACCGAGAGCATCTTCTGATTGTAAGTCGGCAGAGTCATGCAGCAAGCCAAGGGGACTATGTGTCTCGACCCAGTGGCCAGCTTCTAGGCTTCGCTACGGCAATCCAGCTTCAGAATCTTCTCTCTAGAACTGCCCGCACCAGGCCTCGACATCGGGCGCACCGGTCCGGAAGAAGGGCTTCCGCTTTACAATGCAAGCCTGCCAACGGCGACACCTCTAGGAGTGATGATGCGGATGCGGATTCTCAATTTGCTCGCGGTAGCAACAGATCTAGACATGCTTCTGTGCGTCTTCCGGGGGGTTGAAGCCACCAAAGGTCTGCATGCGGTTGGGACTCCGAAGGTCTGTCCAGCCTGGCCAAAGTTTTGGTTGCAGAGCGTGACCATGTTCTGGTGGAGGCAATTGGCCACGCAACTGGGCTTGGTGTCGCATCGCATCGGGGCCGACAGGATGCCGCTGGGATTCTTGGATCACAGAACCCGTCGGTAGACTGTTAGCCCTACGGCAACACTTCCCCGCAGGCGAAGGATCACAAGCCCACCCCGAGCGTTGCTAGTGAGATCAAGGCCTATGGCCTATGCCCAGCAGACCACATGCACTGTAGCCACTTACAGGCCGGCGACACACAAACCTCCCACAAGAGGCACGTTCCGGGTTGCCCGGCTTAGAACAGTCTTCGCCCTTGCCCTCCGCGAAGTTGGCGACCCTTGCTGGGGTCTCATTTGAGAGCTAAGGAGGCCGGGTTCAAACCTTAGTCGGCTGTGGTGCTCCTTCAGGTTGCCAAATTGAGCTGCTCAGTGCTTTGTATCAGGGACAAGACACCAAAAGAATTGCCTGCAGGTCTGCAAGAAAACCGGCACCTACTTGCAATGTTTCCTGACAGCAAATAATTTTCACCATCAGCACGGCTAATTGGCTTTCATGTGTTGGAGGCACGCGAGACCTGAATCTACATAATAGTCGCAGGCCGCAGAAGAGAAGAAGCCAGAAAGATGGAACATCGTCATCCTAATGCCCTGAACAGGGAGTCTTAGTATCAACTGTTCCTCGTCCATGTTCCAACCTTAAGGTTTGGGGTAACGTTATGACTTGCAAACTTCCTGTCTATGCAGTTGTGGACCTGGCCCAACCCCGAAACGCCGAACACCAAGGCCTGCAGCAGCCGGCCATTTCGTTCTCCAGCCGCAGACGACACCTCGGACCGGGCAAGCTGAAGATCATGAACCCACATCGATGCTCACCAGTCCCGCGTTGTGGCGAGTGTCGGCTCTCAAGATTCGTGTCCTTGTTGCGAGCAGCTGGCCGAGAAGACGGAAAACAGCTTGGTGGAACCATGCACATGCATCTGTGACGGCATACGTTTTTTGAAAACTCGACTGGCTTCGAGGCACAGACCAGTGCTCACCGGGATATTTTGCAGGAACGTACTTGCAGCTCCACCGCACCGACGAACCGCGCTTGCGTATGCCAGCAACTGTGTAAGTGTGAGCTCAGCCAGTGGCCAGCGCGTGGCAGAGTTATTCACATAGTCCCAATTCCTTGGTTGAAGATGCGGA